TTTTACTTACAAAGTTTTTTCTATCTGATGACACTAAACTACAAAATGTCATTTTTTTTCAATTAAATAGATTTTTATTTTGAAAAAAAATTTTTTTTAAAATATTTTGTTCAGTAATAAAAAAAAATACAACACTATTAATATAATTGTTTCTTTGTCTTTCCATTACTAGCAAATTTAAATCGAATCAAATCAAAATGGAATGCATTGCATTACATGATTGTTCGTGTAACATCCAATAATTAGTTTAGAAAGAATGTTACATTAAAAAATAAAAAAAAATTTTTAATTTCGGGGAATCTAGAACTTTTTCTTTTTTCCTAGTTTTTAAATTTATCGTCTATACAAATAAACATATAAAAATTGCAATACTATAAAGTTTTATAATATAATAATAATTTAATATGGACCATTTAAATTATGATTGTGCTGAAGTGCTTTTTAGAAATTTCGGTGAAGAAATGGGTGGTGCTGGCTTGTTGTACAAAATTGCTCTTCTAAACCATAAGGTAAACTTCTTCTAACATATGTACATGTATGTGTATATGCTCTTTTCACATTCAACATTCAATTAATATTAACGTCTTTGTTATCATTACTATTATAATTTAGTGGAATGAGCGTGCAACGAAATTTTTATATAAAGACCCATGGAATTTTTGGATGTCGGGAACAGACCGTCCGTTGGTTGCAAAACGATTAATAGACACATTTAAACTCTGTCATGGCACTTATTCACCTTCCTTCAATTATAGTAATGTTAGAAAAAAAATTCGCTTAGAACAACAGCCCCATAATAATAATAATGTTGAACCGTCATCGTTGTCCTCGTCGTCATCAGTATTATCATTATCATCATCATCATCATCATCATTACCATCATTATCATCAAAAAAAAATGGTCACAATGGTCATAATGGTTATAATTATAATCATAATAATAATAATAATCAAAGAAGAAATCCTACACACGATTATATGGCTTTTATAACTAATTTGCATTTACCAGCTTTATTAAAATGTGTGGAATTCTGGTATACAGAAACATATGGATCCGATCCAAATAATCGTGATATTGCAATTGAAAAGCATTTCAAAGATTTATTTGAAGGGTTTGTTAGGAAAGCCTACTTTCATAAATGCACCTTTGCAGAATCAGGGGATCAAACATCATCACCGATAAAACTAGATCAACTTTATAACTTGTTAAAATTTAGTAGATGTTCAAAAGAACTACAATATTTAAATATGGGGTTCTTCGCGTGCACAAACGAGGCATTAGACATGTTAACAGAGAAATGCAACAAACTCAAAACATTCAAACTTAAAGCTGAGCATTGTTCTGACAAATACCTGGCAAAATTCATCAGGTCACAAAAATGTTTGACAAAACTTAAAATACGCAATGCCGAGAGTATTAATGAGACATTGGATGCTCTCGAGTCTCAATCGAAAAATATGGTTAAACTTCGAATTAATGCTTGCAATCTAGAAAGTTGTACTAAACCATTTTACGGTATCGCAGCCTGTAAAGAGCTTCGTTCTCTCTACATGATGAGCGTAGAAAATTTTCCAGAAAATATTTCCATATCATATCTTTTAATGCCCATAGCTAAAAATTGTACATTTCACAACATAGATTTCACTAGAACATTACTACCTGCTGATGTATTAGTCGAAATAGCAAAAAAATCTTCAACTACTTTACGTAAAGTACATCTAGTATATCCACAATCTTCTAATAATGACAATGTTAGTAATGACAATGTTAATAATGACAATGTTAATAATAATGGTGGTAGTGGTGGTGGTAGCAACGGCAGTGATAATAATAACAATATTATTACTAATAATAATAATTATTATATTAATAACGAGGTTTCTGATCTTTCGGAAGGAATTCGAGCATTAGGAAATTATGCAAAAAATCTAATGTGTTTTGAACGTGACATTAGACCATTTGAAAAACCAGCAATGATAGAAATGCTTAGCGCAATTGGCTTGTCACTTGAACGACTTGAAATCGAGTCATGTCACATGATAGGAACAGATGCATCAGATTTGATAAAAGCAATTGGTCAACATTGTTCAAATCTGATGCATCTAGATATAACCTCTTATGAATTCTCGCTGGAATCGTTTCGTTTACTGGTGGAGAATTGTAAAAAGTTGAACACGTTGATTGTCAGTGATTCACCTTCGGTTAATGATTCCATATTACAATTGATTGAGGAAAATTGCATTGGTAGTTTGCAAACTTTAGATATTTCCAGGTGTGAGAATGTCTCAAGGAACGAAATTGAAAAATTACGTAGAATTATTGAGGTTGAATGTGAGGATTGACAGAATTTAGTAGATAATGGTTTCTATTAATATTTATAATTCAACACCATCACCACTGCACAATTTCATTCTTTCATAATATTAATTAATTATTTAATCAAGTTTTTTCGACTTTATTTATTGTATTTTTCTTATATTGATATTTTGTATATATATATTTAATGATTGTTTATCATATTATTATTTTACTTTATTATTTTATTTTTTTTGTAAAAATAATTAAGTAAATAGATATTTAATTTATTTATTTAATTATTATAATTTACATCATATATGAGATGTAAAAAATATATAAATAAGATCAGATTTTTATTTTTTTTGATATTAATTAATTCTAAATTACAAAAAAAATTTTTCGCATTTGCTTTTCTACAAATTAATAATAATAATATTTCACTTATAAAAACCCAGATTATGAAGTATCCATACTATCACCATGACCTGTAATTATAAATTCTTTTGATCCCATTTCGACTTGATAAGAATTATAATATTCAGACCAATGTCCTACTTTTGTATCTCTTACAAATGCATCAAATTTAGGTGTACCTCCGCCTAAAAATTAAATATACAATATTTCTCAATTTTTTATATTTATTTTTTTTTTATAATATTTATTAATAGTTTTCATTTTCATACCATGCCCAGTAGCTAATTTACTTAAAGTCACCACAACTCTAATTGCAGATCGACACAGCTCGTTATTCTTATCAATTTCTGATTTAACAGCGTTATCTTTCATACGATGTGTTAACGTTCCCTTAAGTGGATCAACCGTTTCATCCAACCCTACACAATACATAAATAATATTTATAGAAATATTATATTATTATTTATTTAATTTCAAATTTCATATTTAGTAATTACTTTGGGTGACAGCTGTTGGAGCCACATGAGCCAATCTAATCAACATATTATGTGAAAGAATAGCGATATCATGTTGATCAGACAATCCGGTTATCACCCGTGTAAGGAAACTATATATTTCAAGTTTATCAAGACATGTTTCCAATAACGTATACATGCATTCATACGCAGACTTTATCATATCATTGGTAAAAATTCAAGTTAATAATGAATGATTAGCATAAAAAATTTTATCATAAGAAAGCAAATGGGTCATCACCTTTCTTATATCAAGACCATCATCAACTTTATGTTTGAATGGTCCCATTTCCACCATATGAATAAGATGTTCTTTTATAACTGTTTCTTCATATAATAATGGTAAAAGTTGATTCAGAACATCACGAATCAAATGTGGTTTATTGTGTGCAGCTGAATTTAATGTTCCCAATGAAAGCCTACGAACATTCTTTTGTAATTTTTTTGGGGGGATAGAAAAGATAAATTTTAATACCAAAAAGGAAAGCGCGCGAATAAAATAAACACACAATTAAAAAGTATAATGTATTACAAACCAAATCTCCGTCTTTAATCAAGGACAAGAAATCTATAATAATAGGTCTTAACAATTCATCATATTGTTGTCCTTGGTTGATAAATGTGAATTTGACAGCTGTCACCACTGTACCACGAGTTTGTGCAGATGTAGATCGAAGACGTTTCTTTTAAAAATAAATGAATTATATGTATGTGATTCTATTATTTAACATTAAATATTTAATATTTAATACCATTATTATTAAGATATACCTGAAGCTCTGGCAAAAATTTATTTGGGTTTGCTAATGTTAATTTACCAAGACACTCTGCTACTACACTTCTGGTACCCTCCTCTTCATCGCCTTTACCACTATCAAACAATATATTCCTACAATTATATATGTGCATTTGTTAATGATGTAATCAATTTAAAGTATTTAATAATAATAATAATAATAATAGTAATAATAATAATAATAATAAATCACTATATATTATAATACTAACCAGATTTTATCTGCAAAAGGGCCTAAAGCTTTAACACCTTCTTCATTTGAATAACGTGAAATGATCTATAAAAAATATATAAAATAATACTAATATTAAGCACTAATAATAATTATAATAGTACTACTAACAATAATAGTCATAGTAATAATAGTAATAAGTTCAAAAAAAAATTTTTTATTACTTCTTTGAGAGCATGTAATAACAAATAACGTTGTTTCTGATCACCAGCTATTTGTTCAATTATAATTGGTAAATATTTACTGACATTTCCTGCACTAAGATTACCAAGTGCAAATGCAGCAGCTGATTTTGTATCTTCAGATGGTGCCGAGAATAATGATAAAATTGTAACATGTAAATTTGCATGTTGACTCAAGTCACTTTTTACAAAAAAAAAAAAAGTTAAAATATAATAAATTTATTAATAATTAATAATATCAATAAAGAAATGCGTACATTTTCCTGCCTATTTCACCTATAGCCAATAATGACAAATATTTAATGGAATCAGACGTTTGTGGATTCTAAAAGATAAGAAACAAAAAGTATCGTTATTATATCAGAAATTTTTAATTAATAAAATACTTTTCGCTCTCTTCTTAATATATATAATGTTCACAAACCGAAATTTTATTAATAAAATCATCGACAGTTGTTGAACAATAATTTTTAGGCGTGTTAACACATAATACAGCCATACATTGGGCAATTGTGGAATATGCCTATATGATATAAATATAATTAATGTATATAAATTATTAAACAATAATTGACTAAATGGTTAAGTTAATAAATAAAAAATAAAACCTGTTTTGAGAGTATCAATTGTCCAGACTCTTCAGTTATAGCAGGTTGCATCAGACCATTGAAAAGTCTAGAAAAATCAGCCTGATTTGTGGCAATCAAGGTTTCAAAGAAAATCAATAGACTATCCAAAGCTGCTCCTTGAACTAGAGTTGATTGTACAAGACGAAAAACTGATGGTAATATATCTTTATATATTGTGTCAAGTGAACTGGGGCTGCTGCGCATAACTGAAACAACAGTATTTAAAGCTAATGGTAATAAATGAAGATCTTGATCTGAAATAAGAGGTGTTAATTCTTCAAGTACACGTGTATACGAGTCACTTCCTAAATCGTTTCCGTATCTATAAATATATATAAATAAATATGTGCTTACGCTTGCAAAAAAAATATTCCAACATTATTACCTTCTGATGAATACTTCTAAACAAACTAAGCTTGCAACTTTTAATTGACGATGACTTTTCCTTAATAAAACAGCTACTTCATTAATAGCACCAACAACTGCTGTTTTAACCTCTTGACCTTTGCAAACAGGACTATCAGCTATGCTAGTAAACGTTTTAACAGTGGTCAAACGTGTCACCTCATTTCTCAAACGATCCAATAATATCGGCATGCAAATCTTAAGTTCGTTCTTTAGATTATCACCAGCCTGAGATATAAGGACCCCCAGACATACTATTGAACGTTCCTTTACCTCTTGGTCGGCATCGGTTGTTGAAAGACGTGATTTGGTAACATTATAAATATCCAATATGTAGGATTTGAAAGTTGGATCCAATGGTTGCACGTTGTAGGTTTTGGCGTCTTCTTGGTATTCAATTGGTCTGATGACTTTAATCAACTCAATACAGACTAGAAAAGCCTCTGACGTGATTTTGTAGAATTTATCTTCAACGGATGCGATTATGGGTGGACATAGTCTGGTTAGATGAGGATGGAATACTTGAGCAGGATGAACTTTGAATAGTTGACGAAGAAAACTTAAAGTTTCTATCTTGAGATTAGAATTTGTGCTAATGTGATGATGATGACTTGAATCCAATGGAGTTGATAAAGAAGTTTCAATTGCGGGTACAAAATAGTCCAGATGATTTTCAAGACCTCCATTTAATACTGTAATCAGTTCACGTAAAAGTATGAAACCAGTTTGTTTTGTGATAATTGATTTTGAAAGTAATTGTTTATGAAGATTACGACTTAATCTCGGAACCAAATTTCTTAACATTTGTTTAGGGCTATATTACAGAAAAATTTTTTTTTTGATTTTATTAGTATTTGTCAATTAATAATAATAATTATTATTGTCAATTAATTATAGTTAATACCTTTCTTGTGAATCTTCAGTACCAACACGCACTCTTTTTGGTTGATGATCATCATCTCTCGGGATGTAGGTATTAGTGCCGTATACCAAAGTTTGTCTTAATAAAACAATGAAAGTTTGAAGATCATCGACACGAACAGATTCTTCGCGCTCCCTGAATCTGGAAACCAATACAGGAGCAACTTTTTGATAAAAGTATGATAGAAGCTCGTGTCTTGTGGCAATAACTGCCGATAAAAGTTTCAATGATGCTCTTCGGACTTTCCAAGAAATATCATCGTCGTCGGAATAATCACTGTAAATGTATTTATCACATTAATAAATCATACTCGAAAAAAATTCAAAAACCATCAAATACTTGTTTTATTAACTACACGCACCCTTCGTCCTCATCCTCATCCTCCTCGTCCTCAGTTTCCATTTCTACATCTTGCTCTATCTCCTCCTCATTGTCATCATCCAAATCATCATTTAGATTAGGATCATATTTTGCATAAGTCAAACCAAGATCAGTTATAGTATAGACGTGTGAAGACATTTCTGTAGGACACCGTAACACGAATGATTCTAATGCCTATTGATAATTTTGACGTTAAAGAAGAGGATTGATATTAATTTTTAATTACAAAATAATTATTTATAATGACCTGTAAACAATTTTCTCTTAATTCATCATCATCCACTTTAATTTTGTCAATTACTATTGGTAAAAATTCAGGTAAATGTTTTCCAAGTCTAGGTGCACTAGACCGACTATTATTATTTAATGTTTTTGTTAGATTTAGATAAAAAATTTTTTATGTTTTTTTTTCTCCCAGAATGAATGGATTCTAGCTCCTAATTATAATGAGAGAGTAAATGTGCACCTTAAAGTTCCTACACATTGAATTAATGTTTTCAATTTATCATTTTGATTCTCGGATTCTCTAAATTCAATCAATAATTGTTGTACAAGTTCGTTAAAAAGATCATCAGGATCATGTGTTACGAGATTTCCTTTATGAATAGAATAAAATGAAAGTTTAATAATAAATATTTTTCTTACACTTGGTCTAATTTTAACCGAGTTATATATAATATAATTATCATCACTATATATACCTAATGCAACAGTGGTTCTTTTTCTAAAAGCAGCTCTAGAATGTTTTAAGAGTGGAATTAAAACATTTTGAATTTTTTTTTGAGTCTGAGAATTACTTGCAACAATGGTACCAAATCTAGCCAATAATTCACTCAAGATATCCAATGTATCCATTTGAACCTCGAATGATGCCTTTGGCTATCATTTAAATCAAAATAAATAAATAAAATTTTATCTAAGAAATAATTATAATAAAATATTAAATATTAAAGCCACTAACTAACATTTTCCAATTGTAAAAGCAACCTTGGAATCAATCTTTGTAGTACATTGTTTGCACTTGGCGAATTACTTGGAATTTCAACAATAATAGTTTTCAACCCTTATTAGCAGTATGTTAATAATATTAGTATTTTTTAGTTGATGAACAAATATTTTAGAAATTATTTTATTTTATTCAATTCAAAATTACCAATTCCTGCAATATCACGCAATTCTTCTTTTCCTTGTTGCGTCGAATACAAACATAATTGATCCACTATTTCTTGCAATTGTGCTTCTCGTACTTTTTTAACCAACGGAGCAAGACTTTAAGGATATGATATAACGATAATGATTTTATTAAATTGTAGATCTACAAAATTTTTTTTTCAAAATTTCAAATCTTACCATTTTACTGCTAAATTCTGCACTTCACCATTTGCATCATCCATCAGTTTTATTACTTTTTGAACGCACGCGCCCATTCATTATTTCATATATAAAGATGATCTGAGAAATATTTATTTTATTTAAAAGTATTGTTGTTACAAATAAACATAATATGCAGTGTCTTATAAAAAGTAAATTCGGATAATTTATCATGCTAACAATTTGCACGTGATTATACAAATCTTGACTAATTAGAGTTATTTCTAAATTTGGTCAATCCAAAATTAAATTCTTTTTGGTGCAAATACGCGTGTGTAGCATTATTATCCAATCAAATTTTGAATTTCTGGAAATAGTTTCTAAATTTGTAAACCACACAAAGAAATTTAAATGTGCAATTTACTTCTTATGATATTCAAATGATATATAAATGTTGTAAAATCAATGATATCAAATTTCCTTTAAATTTTTTTTTTTTTTTTTTTTAAAGAAATTTACAATAAATAATTTAACGGGACGGGATGAATTCAATTTATTATAAATATATAAGAAATCATTAATTGAAATGCTATTCCCACAGTAATTTTTATTTAAACGACTGTAAAAATCGCTATTCCATTGTCGATTATTGGTTACAAATAAAATGTGAAATAATAGAAAATATTATAGATATTATTATAATGATGAATATTAAAAATAGTTTGAGCTTATTTTACTGTTACCATTATATGGCTATATTAAATGTTATAAATAAAGTGCTGTATCTTTTCACGCATGAACTTTTTTTATACACGCATACTCGCACACACTCACACGCACCACATTCAAACTCACATTCAAACTCATATTAAGTTATCACCCAGACCATTTATTTAATTTTTCAGTCAGCAATAATAGCTATTATATTTATCATTATTATATTAGAAGAAATAAAAATAGAGTTTTTCCTAGGAATAATACATTACATTATATTATATTATTGTAATACAAAAAAATACTTGAATCAGGACAATATACAAATACACAATAATACTAGTATTAATTAAACAATAATTGTTGTTGTTGTCAAATTTTTAAAATTTAAATTGTTTCAACCCCCCACACAAACACACTTACTTATAAATATGTTTTTTTGACAGGTTGTTTTTTAAAACTTTTAGTTTGTTACCCTGAAATTTAATTAATAACAAAACAAGAAATCAAACAAGATTTTTATTTGGACAAATGAATATCATCTAACCAAAAAACTATATATAATGATAATAGTAATTTATAATTTATAAACAATATTTTTACATATTCCTTTTCACTTTTCAGATTTTCCTTCCATACACCACCTGATCGATATAATCCAATCAAATTAATTAATTAGTACACTGACCATCTCAACAATTGCTTATTAAATCATTGTATTGATTCTTAATTATAATCATAATAACAATAATTATTATGTATCAAGGATTTTGAATATATTGATTGTTCTTTAATATCGATATCGATATCGATATCATTTGCCATCATTAACAATAATTAATGAGCAGAAGAAAGAAGAAAGAATTTGAATTTATCTAAAATTAGAAATATAAATTATTTTTCCGTTTTAAAAAAAACAAAGCTCGCAGCTACATATATTTAAGTTCACAATTAATTTGATTGTGAGAGTAAAAAATCGACGTATATTATCTAAAAGATCCTTGATATAGAAAAAAAATGAGATTTTTCATATTTACATCTACATCTACAGCAGCTTATTGGAGTGTGTATCGCATGGCATAACAAAAGGTGCCTGTGTCTATTTTTGTTTTTATCTCTGTTTACTAACTGTGGCAAAATCACCTTTTTTTTTTTTTGCTTGTATTTATATTTATTATCTGACAATTAATTGCATTTAAATAAATTAAAAATAGAAATTTCCATTTTTGCTACCATTAATCGATTCCATTACATTATCTCACATAATAATAAATAAAATATTTAATAGGAATGTCGATTAGATTATAGAGAAGGAGAAAGAGAGTGAAGGCGAAAAAAAAAACATGGTTATTTTGATTGTTTTTAATTTTTTAATCAAATTAATCGATACAATTCAGGAGTTAAAAATAATTTAATTGTATCTCGTTTCATTTCTTTCTAAAT